AATTGTAAATATGCTTTGACCAATGTTTATGTTTTATGTTTCATTCCTCTGACCTTTGGCCCATGGGAGCCACTCATAGGGACTCCTATATCTTTTGACATGGCCTGTTAGTTCTTGGCAGTATGCTATTTTCCTTTTCATTTGCAGGAGAGAAAAAATTGAGAGGTCTGGAAACAATAGCTAAAACTATTTTCCCAGCTTTTCTTATCTTCACCACCTCAGTCAGCGACGAGACATATATGCTGCCTACTTGCCCTCATCTCACTTCCCCAGCCTTTCTTTCTATAGAAAAGGGAAAGGCAAGAGCAGACAGCACCCAACCATGGTAGCATGGATGGGTTTCTATCAGGTTCCATCTGTACTTCAAGGAGTTAATTAGTGGTACAGAAAGGGCCACAAGTCTGCTTTCTTGTTGCATTTGATTAAATAACTAATTTTGCAAAGTGTTTCTCCATTTTCTTTTTTTTCCTTAGTTTTTTGTTTTTGTTTTTGTTTGTGATTTTTTTGTTTTTTTGTTTTTGTTTTTTGTTTTTCTTGGGTTTTTTGTTGTTGTTGTTGTTTTGGTTTTTCAAGACAGGGTTTCTCTGTGTAGTTTTGCAGACCAGGCTGGCCTTGAACTTACAGAGATCCACCTGCCTCTACCTCCCGAGTGCTGGGATTAAAGGTGTAAGCCACCACCAAGCAGGCCTGTTCCTCTATTTTTAACTGAAGTCATTTATTCCCTCCTAAAATTCTATCAGGTGTTCCCTCATCTTGGGCATTGGGGTCCCAAGCTACAGGGATGAATGCCAATAATTTCAGTTACCTATATACATATTTCATATGGTATTTATAATCTGTTACACTGAAAAGGCTTCCTTTGGGCTCCACCCTTCTTTGAGGGGCATCAGGCTCCCAAGGGTCTCACAGTCAGTAATAAACAAGCCCTGGGTCAGTTCTATCATCCTTCACGCTTTTAAAATGCCTCTCCCTCTTACACGAAGTCTGAACAGGGAATTCACCTCCACTTGTGTCCCCTTGAATACATGAGGGTAAACCTCATTTCCCATTTCTATGTTGGTTTAATGTCTTTATTCACAGCATTTATTTGTTTTCCCTGTGTATATTAATCTGGCATTTATTTCCTAAACAAACAGGGGACAGAATTAAGATTTCGTGCTTTGGGGGCTGGAGAGATGGATGGTTCAGTAACTGAAAGCACTATGTCACCTACCATGGTGGCTCACTACCATCTGTAACCCCAATTCCAGGGCATCCAGTGACTTCTTTAGACCTCTGGCAGTACCAATCATGCACGTGGTGCACATGAATTCATTCAAGAAAAACACTCACACTAAAAACAATGTAAAGATTATGTAATTTTTATCATTTAACTGAAAATACCTTCTGTAGTGGGCTGAGAGAGGAGACAAGAGTTCCAGATACTTTGTGCTCTGGAGAAAGGTGTTAGTTACTCCACCGGCCCTGGGTAAGACATCCCTGTAGCTGACATGGTGTTAGTTCCTGGGAGTTTTCTCTTGTTAGCAAAGAAGAAAGGTAAAATAGTTGTTGGCTTAAGACCAAAACAGACTAGGGGCACAGCACATTTCTCTCCCAACACCCATCTTGTTTTGATCAAGTGTTGCTATTAAAAAACAAATTGCTTTGAGTTTTAGACAATTTAAATGCTTAATGCACTTAATATGATGTCATAAAGGCTTGGCCAAAAACTCAAGTGTTTCACAAAAATTTCATTTGATAGAATGTAGGTTATCTTCCACTTACCATTTTTAATTGGATAGCAAAATGCACCCAACTTTTGGTCAAATGTTATATGTTTTAGGTGTATCCTCTTTATAAAAAATGAAACTGATTAAAAATTAATAGATATTAACATCTTTTAAATCCATAGTAATTATTTTTTAATTAGCTACTATAAAAGAGGTTGCCAGGGCTAAAGAGATGTCTCATCAGTTAAAAGCACTGACGCTCTTTCAGAGGACCTGGGTTTGATTCCTAGCTCCACATGGTGGCTCACAGCCATCTGTAACTTCAGCTCCAGAACTGACAGCCTGGGGCACCAGGCACACATGTGGTAAATGGACATACATGCAGATAAAACATTTATACCCATAAAATCAAAATAATTTTTAAAGGAAGGTTGGCAAATAGTGCCTGACCTTTCCTCCAAATCACAGGAGTATGTAAGAAGTTGGAGAAGCCCACCAGCTCACTGGAGCTCACACTGCACACTGCTGTGGTTACAGGGGCTGTGTCCTTTCTCTGCTGTGCTTTAGCAGCTCAGGGACAGCACAGTCTGCTGTGGAGCTCTTGAAATCTGAGAGAAGCTGGGCTTGTGTTGCGCATCACCCTTCTGGACTCGGAATTGGCACAATGGATTATGGCTGCCTTTCCTACCCCTGATGTACTTCCGAGTTCATTCATCAGGTACTCCCTACAAGTAGTCTATCTGAGTTGGCAGCACAGATGAGAATAAAATCTGTCTCTCTCCTTCATGGAGGAAATACAACTAAAATAGCATCAAAATTATCTGTCTTGAAATGAGAGAAGCCGGACGTGGTGGTCCATATCTTTAATCCTAGCACTTGGGGGGCAGAGGCAGATGGATCTCTGGGAATTTGAAGCCAGTCTGATCCACACAGTGAGTTCCAGGAGCCAGAGCTACATAATGGAGAGATGCTGGTGCTGGAGGAGGCCAAAAGAGCATCGCTTCCCCTAGAGCTGGATTTATAGCCATTGAGAACCTCCCAACGTGTATGCTGAGATCCTAACTTAAGTGCTCTCAACTGAGCCATCTCTCTAGCTCCTTTTGTTTTATTTTTTTAGTTTGTGAAGTGAAAAGAGGTCATATTTCCTTCAGCATCCAATCAGTTTTTTTGGTTTTTTGGTTTTGGTTTGGTTTGGTTTGGTTTGGTTTTGGTTTTGGTTTTTTAGGTTTTTCCAGACAGGGTTTTTCTGTGTAACCTTGGCTGTCCTGAAACTCACTTTGTAGACCAGGCTGGCCTCGAACTCCAGGTCTGCCTGCCTCTGCCTCCCAAGTGCCAGGACTAAAGGTGTGCACCACCACCTCCTGGTAGACTAAATAATTTTTATATAGCACTCAGTCTACTGTCTAGCCCAATACTTCTCAACGTTTGATCTCAGCAACTTTTTGTATTCCTGAGAGCTATTGAGGACCCCACTGAGGTTCTGTCTAGATAGGTTATACACATTAGAAACTAAAACTAACCAACTTTGTAAATATTGATTTTCAAAATTAATAACAAACAGTTCACTATATTAACAAATTGTGTGTGTGTGTGTGTGTGTGTGTGTGTGTGTGTGTGTGTGTTGTTTTGTTTAAAAGAACATTTTTTATTAATTTTTGTTAGGTTGGGCAAACACATTCTCTAGTAATAGTTTGAAAAAATTTAATGTTCATTTTATCTTATATGTCTGGGTATTTTGTCTTCCTACTACATGTGTGCCTGCCAGAAGAGGGTGGCAAAGCCCCTGGAGCTGGAGTTACAGATGGTTGTAAGCCATCATATGGGTGCTGGGAATTGAACCTGGGTCCACTGCAAAAGTGCTCTTAACCCCTCAGCCATCTCCCCAACCCTGAAAATGTTTTTTACTTCATGGACCACGGAAAGGGTCATGGGGCCCCTGAACCATTTGGAAATTAGTAATCAAACTATTAGGTAGCTAATTCAATAAATTGTGATCATCATTATTATTATTATTATTATTATTATTATTATTATAATTCCACATCACTTATTGTGACTAAAGAGCACCACACAATACTAGTGGTGAGAAGAATATGTAGGCTGTGGCTCCAAAGTTATTTTTGTTCACTTTACAGAAGGATACCAAAGAAGACATTCAGGTGAGACCAAAGAAACAATGCTTTTTACATAGATGAATGGTAGTATCACAGAAACAAATTCTTTGGTTAAATAACACACATCTTGCTTTCAGGGGTTGGTTACTTAAATACATTATCATGAGACTTTCGTTTTGTTTCTCCAGGAGTCTTTTCCTCCCCTAGGTCTTAGAGGGAACAGTGATTAAATATTTACTCAGATGCTGCTGGAAGAGCTGATCTAAGGCTGTGGTAGCCCAGCTGAGAGAGGAAGGTGTGTTCCCTTTGTTAAGCAGGCTAGGCTTCATAACTGACAGGATAATGTTGCCTTACTGGTGGGAGAGACTGGGTTATGAGGTCTTCTGAAGGGACTCAGATAGGCCTTGACTGTAAAGCAATGTAACACATGAGTTGCCCTAGATTTCTTTTTCTTTAATATAAACTTTTTTCTTTTTTTAAACGTGGGTTTGCACATGCATGTGCACTATGTGCTGCCATGTGTATGACACAGTATACAAGTGGAGGCCTAAGGACAACTTATTCCTTGCTTCTTTCCTTCTACCATGTGGGTTCCATGTGGCAAAAACCAACTTTACCCACTGAGCCATTTTGACAGCTAGATTAAAAATATATTTCATGCCGACAGTGGTGGCGCACGCCTTTAATCCTAGCACTTGGGAGGCAGACGCAGGTGAATCTCTGTGAGTTCAAGGCCAGCCTGGTCTACAAGAGCTAGTTCCAGGACAGCCTCCAAAGCCACAGAGAAACCCTGCCTCAAAAAACAAACAAACAAAAAAAGAATATAGTTCATACATTTCACATAACTATATGGATATAGCTTATATTTGCCAGACTTACACTTAAATTTTCTTTTGATTATTTTTATGTTATGTGTGTGAGTATTTTACCTGCATGGATGTGTGTGCAATGCCCGTGGAGGCCAAAAGAAGGCATCAGGTTTCCTAGAGCTGGAGCTACAGATGGCCATGAGATACCATGTGGGTGCTGGGAAACAAACCCGAGTCCTCGGCAAGAGCAGTCAGTGCTCTTTAACAGCTAAGCCGTCTCTCTAACCCCGTACATGTAGTTTTAGGACATAAACATCTAACACAAATTTCCCCTTCCTCTCTGTCTTTGGGATGTGCTGGTACAGACCATGGGGAACTCATACGCTGGGCAACTGAAATCCGCTAGATTTGAGGAAGCTCTACACAATTCCATAGAAGCCTCGCTCAGATGTAGCAGTGTAGTCCCACGGCCAATCTTCTCCCAGCTTTACTTGGACCCGGATCAGCACCCTTTTTCAGATGCAGGTAAGTTTCTTAATTGCATACATTTTTAGACCCCTTTCAAAAGAAGTGGGAACTCCAAATCCTGGGAACTCAAATGTTAAAAATGCCAGTCTCCCCCTCCTCAAAAAATATCTTTCAGGAGTTCTCATGGAATCTTTTTTCCATAAGCAGCCTTTTAAAAAATTAAATTTGCATTGGTTTCTTTGCTTACCCAGATGTCAAACCCAAGGTGGAAGACCTAGATAAAGATCTAGTGCACCGCTACACTCAAAATGGCAGCATCGATTTTTCTAATAATGTAGCAATTAATGAAATGGAAGATGACGAAGATGAAGAAGACATGTCTGACTCAAACAGTCCACCAATCCCCTATGCACAAAAACCTGCCCCAGAAGGATCTTGTACTACAGATGGTAGGTTTGCACTTTTGGATTCTTTTCAGTTTTATATTGTAAATTCATTTGGCCTGTTTCCAATCATTCCAAATGGTTCTCAAAACTGGACTCATGTCATTGTTGAGAGGAATGAGTGCTATATGCTGATGCATTTATCTAATTATTATTTACCAATAAAAACTTGGGAGTCAGATATTGGATTATGAACCTGAATGATCAGGGAAGCAACAGAGAAGTGACCAGTGACCTTCTATTTCTGTCATCCCTCCATCAAAAAGGGCTGAGACCCTCTCTAAGCCCCACCCTACTACTTCCTGTCTCTCTATCTTCAGTTCTCCAAAACCTCTATGGTTAATTTTGGTCAGCTAATAGCTAGCTCTGCCCTCTGATTCAAAGCAAACTCTTTATTGTCAGAATGTTATCAAAATCTCACACAACAACATCCTCTCCCCTATGGACTCTTCAGGGCTCACAACAGTTGTCTACAGGAACCATAAGTCCCACCCCCTCTTGTAGATGAGGAGACTGAGGTTCACAGGTGACCCAATTTGTTGAGAGCATCTGAGCAAATGCAAGTTCAGACAAAGGTCAAGGCTTCCCACTAGTATGTAAGAATTTACTCTCTCATAAGCTTTTATTAAAACAATATTTCGTCTTTCTTGTCCTTTTAGTCACCCCCCCAAAAAATGCCCTGACTCTACATTTACCTAGAACATTTTTATTACATTTGTGTGTGTGTGTGTGTGTGTGTGTGTGTGTGTGTGTGTGTGTGTTTTACATGTGGGTGGATGCTCATGAACCATGGCACACACATGGAGTAAAGGACAGCTTGCAGGAGTAAATTCTCTCCTTCCACCCTAGGGATGCCAGGGTCATGCTTGCTGGTAGGCACCTTTGCCTAATTAACCATCTTGCTGTCCCTACAGCTATACTCACTGAGTTTATGGGTAAAACATAAATCTTTTATAAATATTATAAGTATAAAATTTGGTTCTAGAATATAAAAATGTGGGCTAGAGACATGGCTCAGCGATTAGGAGCACTGGCTGCTCTTCCAGAGGTCCTGACTTCAATCCCCAGCAACCACATGGTGGCTCACAGCCATCTATAATGAGATTTGGTGCCCTCCTCTGATGTGCAGGCATACAGGCAGGCAGAACACTGTATACATAATAAATAAATCTTTTTTTTAAAAAAAGAATATAAAAATGTAAGTAATTTGGTTCTCTCTCCCTCCTCTCCTCCCCTCTGCCACCACTCAGTTTTTTGAGACTGGGTACCATTATGTAGTGTGGGCTGGCCCGGGATTCACTATGTAGAACTTCCAGGCCTCCAACTCACAGAGATTGATTTGCCTTCCTCTGCCTCCCTGGTGCTGTGGTTAAAGGTGTACACCAGCATGCCAGCTGATGATCTCATTCTATTTGTGTCAGCTTTATTTCCTGCCACACTTTGAACCACATTTTAAATAAGGAAATCCTGCTTTCCAACATTTTCATTGTTTTCTGGTTTCAGTGATATCCCAACTTAAAGTCTGTTTTCTTCCCTTTACCAAGTAGCTGTGTTCAGATCCCCCATCTAATTAGTATGTGGGTGTGGTTTTCATATTCTGGCTGACTGACATTAACCTGCATTGTGTCAGAGCATGAAAACCTTGAGGAGGAGGCATGAGGGAGGGGAAAAAGAAGGTTCCAGACCTCCGGATAATTTCCTGACAAAGCTTAGAGAACAAGTTATTTGATGTAAATTAAAGCCTTATCCAGGTAAAGCCAGAAAAATAGTTGCCCTTGTTTAGGAGTTCATTTTCTTTTGGTTTCCTACTTGCCTGATAATCTGGCAGCCCACAAAAGGGTCCAAAGCCTCTAGCTAGAGGGGAAAGAGCCGAATGACGATCCCACAGTGCACGTGTCCCTGGAAGGTATCTGCACTCGAGTTCTTTATGTTAGGCCTGCCCACAGCACGTCATTCTATGGATTTCCTTCCACATATGATTGACTCCTTTCCCAGACTTAATATAGTGTATATTGTTTACTCATTATTGATGAACCATAAGACTTTAAATGCATGGAGATGTGGACAGTGACAGTATTGTGTTGCTGTTTACTTGAGTTATTATTGTTACATCTTTTCTTCAACTGAGCAGTAACCTCACCAAGTAACAAATGACATTGAACAGTGCTTAAAATGGTGATGTCTGGTTGAGAATCTAATTACATGTGAATAATTAAATAGAGCCAGAGTAAAAACTTCAGCAGATGATTTTGAAATAACCAAATTTTTTCCAAAGTGTGGGAGAGAGTTTCCCCTGTCCTTCTGTGCTTGGGGTGTGTTTTTCATTTGGTAATGGCTTTATTTATAACCAGGTATTTTGAAAAGTTATTTTGTAGCTACCAAGATACAAACTTGATGTCCTGAAAATAACACACCCTTTAATCCCAGGACTTGGGAGACAGAGAGGGTGGATCTCGGTGAACTTGAGGACACCTTTACATACATAGTGAATTCCTGGACAGTCACAGCTGCATAGTGAGACCCTGTCTCAAAGAAAACAAACAAACAAAGTAATAACAATGAAAACACCCACGTAGTTAGGATATGTTTTATATGTTTATGTTAGGATCTCACTCTAACTCACACTGTAGTGTGAATTTGGGGTGATCCTTTCACCTCAGCCCCAAAAGGGCAATGGTGATTTTGTTTTATTTTATTTCATTATTTATTTATTTATTTACATTCCAATCTCAGTTCCCCCTCCCTTTTCTCCTCTTGCTCTCCCCTTCTTCCCCCAATGCCACCTCCCATTCTTTCCTCAGAGAGGGTCAGGCCTCCCCTAGGATGTCAACTAAGTCTATCCCCTCACCTCGTAGAGTCAGGACCAAGGCGCACCCCTCCATGCTAGGCTGAGCTAGGTGTCTCTTCATAGAGAATGGGCTCCACAGAGTCAGTCTTGGTCCCACTGCCATTGGTCTCATATACTGCCCAAGCCTCACCATTGTCACCTGTATTCAGGGGTCCTAGTTCAGTCCTATGCTGGTTCTCCAGTTGATGAGATGGAGTTAGTGACGCTGTAGAGGATGAGGAGAAAGGGAAACACTTCTTCCCCATTGCTGGTGGGACTGCAAACTTGTACAGCCACTGTACAAGTGGCAATTTCACAGAAAATTAGGAATCCATTTACCTCAAGATCCCGTAATACCACTTTTGGGCATATACCCAAACGAGGCACACTCACACCACAAAGACATTTGCTCAATTATGTTCATAGCATTATTCATAATAGCTAGATTTTGGAAACAACCTAGATGCCCTTCAACCAAAAAAATGGACAAAGAAAATGTGGTACATTTACACCATGGAGTACTACTCAGTGGTAAGAAACAACAACATCTTTAAATTTGCAGGCAAATGGACAGAACTAGAGAAAACCATCCTGAGTGAGGTAGCCCAGACCCAGAAAGACAATTATAATATGTACTCACTCATAAGTGGATATCAGACATAAAGCAAAACACACCCAGCCTACAATTCACATCCCCAAAGAAGCTAGAACCCTCTTCCAGAAACAGATGGAAGCAGATGCGGAGATCTATAACCAACCATCAGGCTGACCTCCTGGAATACAATCGAAATGAGGGAGGAGCGATAATATGAGCAAAGGGGTCAAGACCTTCGTCTGCTGCTTCCGGTTCTCGTAACTATTGGCTGCTGTTTATGTCCTGTGCTTAACTCTCCCCTGAGACAGTGTTTAAAATAAAAAGTCATTTATAACTTGGTATTTTAGGATTCACATGGTGTTATCAATTCTGCTCACTGGGAGATCTAAAAAATCTTCCTACTCACATGAAAAGCTGCCCTGAAGTTGTGCTCACAAAGCAGCAAAGAAACTGCTCAATAGAATGGCTGTGGCCTTGTTTGAGAAGGCCATCTTCCAGTTCCTGGGGAATCCTCTGTTTGCCTAAGGCTTAAAGCTGTAAAGCTATTTTTAGAGGCAATTTAGATAAGCAGATACTTAACATCTGACCAGCTGCCATTCATAGGCAAATTTTGGTTGCTAATTTCTTATGTAAATTATTGGACTAGAGTAGGTCCCTACCCTGCTGGGAGGCAGTTGATTGTCTACGCAGGTGAAGAGCAACCAGGTTTTAGACCTCTGGAGGCTGCTTTCATTACTTTAGTTGGGTTTACTGCTGTGTCAGTAAATGTTCCTTTCCCCCTTTTTATTTACTCTGGTGCCTTCAAGTTGGAGGTAATTGAAGAATGCAAATCCCTTTCTATGAAGTGAAAACCTTTGCTATTTTCTTAAGAAAATGCAGATGAAGTTTATAAAGAAGGGCCCTCTGCTATCACCACCACAATGTTTTAATTAAAATCATTTGTCTCAAAAGATCGTGGCAGGAGATCAGCCTTCCATTATTGCCCTCAGAAGTGAAGTGAGTCCCGGAGCAAGTTTGCAAAGCGAGTTGCTCATCCGTATAAGCAACTTTGTACAGCAGCAGCCAGGTTCCTCCCATGGGGTGCTCTGAGGTGTTCCAGTAGTCTCTAAAGAGTAGCCATCTCCCTGCCATGAGGGATACTGGGATCTTGTTGGTCTGGAAATCCAGTCACATGTCATGGATTCTGTAGCTAACCACTCCTTATAGGCACAGCTTATTTTTAGTTAAAAAATAAATAAAAAATAAACATTGCTCTTAATATTTTTTCTTTCTTTGGGGATCTCTGATCTATAATGTGTTTAATTAGCTGTGCTAACCCCTGACAATGAGACTTTAGGGGAATAGTTAGGAAATGTTTACAGTAGAGCACCAGGCCCTTGGCAGGTGAACTTTGAATTTTTAGGATAACCACAAACTGAATTTAGTAGCTTTCCTTTGCTTCTGTGGCCATCTTTGGCCATGAAGTGAGTCCCCCATGAGCCTCAGTGTGGCTTTTCCTTTCCACCCCATTCTTTCTTTTTAATGAAATTGCCTGAGGCTGTGTTAGCGAGTACCAAGAAGAAAAGTATTTAAAGCCTATTTTTA